GAATGACTTAAAAGAAATATTCTTTTAATATATGAAGTTGTTAAGGCTCTCCCTAAAAAAAAGTCAATTTTCGTCAGAAATTTCAAAATTGAGATAAATGCATGGAGAGATAGTCCGTCATCTACTCTTTCATAAATGATAAAAGTTTTTCCTCGATACCTCATTTTTCTCATAAAACTTTTCAAGATTTCTGTCGTCACATAGTCAAAAAATAAGCGGTGTTTTTGAAAAATTGAACAGTTTTTTTCGTTTTTTCTCAGATTATGCTCTTTCAAACGCGCAACCCAAATCTCTCTGTCTGGACTCTTTCAATATATTTAAATTTTTATTTGTTTGAAAGACTACGTCAAGATGCAGTACCCTCCAGAGCCCTTTTTGTGTACTCAAAAAGTGAGTACACCATAGAATCGGTCAGTGTGTCCATCTAGTCAGCCGTATACACGATAACTCCTTCAAGATGTCATCCGATTGTGATGAAATTTTGCACATAGAATTGTCTCATCAATGTTTTGGTCGAGTTCGAAGATGAGAATCATTTGTCATGAAATTGCTGAGTTATAGCAAACAATGTCATTATTTCCTGTGTGTTTCTATACGAATATTGATCTTGAGGGTGTGGGTGCAGGTATAGATCTTCTCTGCGTCAGAACCCACACCCACCCTACAGCCACAGCAACACACCCACACCCAATGTGTTTCTAAATATTTTAATCTATTTATGGAAAAACTGTATGAAACGTTAGTGGACGATGAATTGAGTTCGAATTCATGGACCACAGAAAGAATTAATAAACACACACCGAACTTTTTGAAAAAATTATTGCAAATCAACATAATGATATTGTCGTGTGTATGGATAGTTTATATATATATATATTGAAAAACCAGCTAATTTTTCATTGGAAAAACTAACATGGTCATCACAAACATTGTGCAATTGTGTAAAGTTTCATTGTATTACAATATTAGATGGTACCTTTGCTGTTATCGGTTATAATAATGAAGAAACAATCATAAATTGATTGACAAATAATGAGTATCTAATTGATAGTGGAATTAGTAATAATAATATTTATTATAATCATTTAATTGAAACATCTTGCATTAAAACTACTTTAAAACCTCATGATATTTTTGTATTAGATAGAGGATATAGAAGAATGAAAAAAAGAAATTACCAAATAAAAATACCAAAGTCTATAAGTAAAGAAAAAATTAAATTAACAACTAAACAAGCAAATGAATCCAGATTAGTAACATGTATGTTTCGTTTGGGTTTATTTTGAGGAAGATTAATTATATTTTTTTATTTTTGAACTTTTTTCTGTATTATAATTCAGAGAACTGTTATCGAACGTGCAATTGGTCGTTTAAAATTATGAAAAATATTGCAAAACAAAGTAGCACATCAATATATCTGTAAATTGAATAAAATCGTGTCCACATTAGCATCTACTATCAACAAGTTTGATGTACCTATATTCAACGATTTATAAGATAAAAATGAATATGTCAAAAGAATTTTACAACATATTGATGATTCTGAAAATGAATTTAAAAAACTGATGAATAAAAATAAAAATCATCTATGGAAAACACTAGCAAGAAACCCAATTGAAGTCATCCAGTTCAGAAAAAATACAAAATACATACCAGAATATACAATATCTGATATAGAAATGATTTCAATAGGTGTGTATACATTAAAGTTATCCGAATGTTATTTCACTAATTCAATCAACCAAATAAAAATTTTTGAACATGAACAGGATAAAAACTATATCAAGATCGTTGTTATTACTTCAAGATTTACTTCATCAAAAAAAAAACATTCATTAATACTTAAGTTTTATGTACAACATACAAGAGGTACATAATTCTATTGTTCTTGTAAAAGTAGTGCACGTACAACCAATCCATGGGCACATGGTTTATGCATTTTAGTATTAATCCAGTCCATCCAACAACAAATATTACATTTATCGTCATTGAAACCTACCATGAGTCACTATAATCTATTAAAAATTGACGAACATTCATTATATTATCAAAAATTCTATGATAATATCATGGATTGTAAAATATATAAAGAGTGGTCAACATCTAATGAAACATACTGTGTTTGTAATGAACTATGTGAAGAAGAACATTGGATGGTAAAATGTCCTATGTGTCTTGAGTTGTATCATCCTAGTTGTATTGATCAAACTCGAAACGATATTGAATATAATATTGATAAATGGAAGTGTCCATTTTGTGAAGAACATGATGAGACAGATATCCATGGTGAGATAGATACTGATGATAGCTAAATATTCTCTTATGTATAAATGTATTTTCGATTGTTATCTGACGTTTTTTTATAATGATGTTAGGGTGTTTGTTTTTAATTGTATAATAGAAATGTTCAAAATGCTATTGCTGATTTAACATTGAAAAACCTTCCTTTATGTTATCCTCTAACAAAATGTCAAAATGCTTCGAACGATCCTGAAGTGACAACCAGTAATAGGATTAAAACAGATACAAATGCATTTATATCCTGTTCTTAGACACCTATGGCTATATAATGCAATCGGTTCGTTTGTTAAACATCAGCTTTTGTTGAGCAATACATGAATATAAAGCAGGATATTCGTATTATCTGACTATGTTTCACTGTATATTTCATCAGCTTCCATGAGAGATGATGAGGTTATACAAAGAATAGTGATGATTTCTCTAATATTGCAAGTGTCCATGGTCTGCTTCGTTGATATGATATCCCCGCATCATATAGAACAAGAGTATGCTTGAACAAAATGAAAACGGGCGGCGGGGAGAGAGGGATATAAGTGCCAACTCTTTAATAAAATATAATATGTATAAACATTTTGTTCTGGGTTCTCACTATTGCAACATGGATGTACTTTTTCATTCATAAATTAATTAATTGTATTTCATAAAATCTTTTTAGTTTCTTTTTTTTGTTATTTCAACATGGATGTGCATCTTCATGCATAAATATGTAAGTTATAATTTATACAAACCTTTTCTTTTTGTTTTTTAGTGTTCCGATATGGGTATGCCTTTTCATTTATAAATTGATAGTTTCTAATTTATACAAACTTTTTGTTTTACTATTTTACTATTTCAGCATTATTGCGCTTTTTCATTGATGATTTTATAAATTATAATTTATATAAACTATTTCCTTTGCTTTTTTGCTATTTCAAGATTGGTGTGCATTTCGTTTTATGATTTTGATTAATAGATTCCAGGTCGAAAGCAGACCATCGAATTCTGTCGGATCTGTCTCAATTCGCTGAATTCCGATGGCTGAACCCGATAGAATTCACTTGTCGGAATCCAGCCGATTGCATCCTTTTCCGAGTAGTTGATCGTCGGATATTTTGTTTGATGGAGCTGCTGAACATGCCTTAAAAAATTGTGACTGTTTTCTCGTATTGCAAATCAGAAACTGCTTGATTCGATTGAGTCTTCTGAAAAGTTTCTTCTGTGTAAAAATTAAATTGAACTAACATCTTTTCCCATGAAAACTAATTATCAAAATGAACAAACCAATAGTGTAACCAAGAGATTGAAGCCTTTCCCACCTCTCCACGTACCGGTCGAAGTCACGCCAGCTAAACTCTGTCAACGAGCCTCCTTCACTAGATAGATCCCGGGCATTTTAAGCCGTCCTTCCACCGGAGAGCCCGGCCATGTTAAGTTCCTCCGGTATCAAAATTTTGGTTTCACCGCTAGAACAAATTTAAGAAAGCATAATAATGTTTCTGTTTCTATCTAGTCACTATTAAAAAATTTTTCATAGTAATAAAAAAGACAAATGACACGCAACGAGCACCATCTGAAATATTAAGCGTATTTAATTTCGTATTGGCTCTTATAAGAATCGAATCCGATCTAATTTCATGTCATATATATATACCTGTATAATCAGCTGATAGTTATTTGTTGATGGTTTACAGTTTCAAAATATGTCTTGTATTTCTGCCTACATGCAACGAATCACTGCATCAACACGATCGACAAAGATAAAAATCGATGACATTACAGCCATTCTTCGTATCGGCACAGAAAGTCAATATACAATGCTCGAGAACTTCATACAACAGTCTGTTTCAGTTCTCTTTATTTTTTGGCAAGGACTTTTTGATCTTGTTTTTTTGAAGGATGCAACGATTCAATTAAATGTAACAAGTCTATTTGGGCAAGAATGTCGTTTTCGAGTTTATTTGAAATTTTCTTGTATTTTTTGAGTTGATACATTTGTTTTGTTATATCATTAATTTTCAACACTAATGGTGGATCATCTCTATATGACCCATGCCGTATTCTTTTACCTACAATCGATAAATGGTCAAATACAACAACACCAACAATTCAATAAGCAATCGATATTCGTCACTTATTTGTTCAGTCTTTATTACACGATGTTGTTCATGTTGCGTTGCTTCTGTGATATTAATTGATGAAAAAGTTCGTTTTTTTGTCAAAGAGAAAAGGCTTTTTTAAATAGTTTTTTAAGTATATTTGTCGATATCCAATAGTTGCTTCTTCGAATGAGTATATTTTCGTTCTGGTATCAATCGTTTATTATATACGGGAAATAGAACAACAAATCCATTCCCTGTAACAAATGATCTTGATAGATTACTAAATATTGCAATTGTTGTTGATGATGCTACTGCTGATTCGTTAAATGCAGAGGTAGCTCAACAACAAAATACATTTGATAAATTTCGTGGAGCTGATATTGATTTATTACAAACACTTGATATTAGTTCTATAGACAATTCAATGGTTGAACAAAAAAGATGTTTGCTGTTAAGTAAGAGTTAGATAATTATTGAAAAAGAAAATTTTCTTTTTTATTTTCATCCTAAGTGTTACATCATTAGCGAATTCAGATACAGAAAATCGTTATCGAAATTTTCAATTATTAATTATTCGTTATCCATGTAAGAAAAAAGACTTCTGAACGAAATCATTTTATTTATATGTTATATTTCTAGGATGTGAATATTCTTAAGAATTTTGAATACATGAATATAACGGTAAATTAAAATTTTAGAATTCCTTATTACCATTTATTCATTCGTCATTGCAAGTACTGGAACGTCTTTCATGTCTTGTATCAACCAATTAGTCAGATTTGAAGATAATTTATTTTCATTCTATTGTTAATCTTTAATTTATTAATACAGCCATGGAATTCAATAGATCTAACTAAAAATTATTTTCAATTATTTTTCGTCATCTCGAAATAGGTATTTCTTATTTAAATGAAAATATAAGTATCTCTATTGAGATTTCGTAGATGATCATGAACTTCTTATACGTTGTACAAAACGTTGGAATCGTACACTATCATTTGTATGGCTTTTACATTTATCATCATAGGACGATTGATGAATTCATCAATCACTGACTCTTGAATAAATTCTTTATTTAATCTTAGCTTATGATTGTTGTTTATTCGGATATCAGATTTATTTTTCAAATAGACATTGTTTACCTGAAAGATTACTTCGTGGTGAAGGAGAAAGTTATTAGTTAGAAAAAATAAAATGAATAAATTTGGTTCTTATAGATTCTCTATTTTTCTTTTATAATGCTTCCACACTTAGTTTCAAATGAATTCATTTATAAACAATCGACCATGCTGATGCTCTTGAAATTACCTCCGAAAGAAGACAAAAGATGTTGAAGTATTGTACTCAATGGAATAGTCAACATCGGTGATACAGATGACTCAATGAACGAGGCAATCAACAACAATAGCATAGTAGTGTCTGACTCCTGTTGTTTAGTTTTTCCTCCTTCTATTCACACTAATCATGTTTTACTAGTAGTTGTAAGCAAACCAACTACATCGACAGACAATGACGCTGCCGATGAATATGATCTTTTTTACAATGGTGAGAATATGAATATACCACTTGACTTAAATGATTTTTCTGAAAATGATGAATGCTCAACATCCTTCATCTGTTAAGAAAATCGAACGTTAGCAAAACACATGCCCAAGATTACCTGGTCCTCATCGAAAATATTTTACCAGAACTGAATTCACTACTAAAAGACATGATACAATTATATTGACAACTTGATATTAATAAAAATTTGTTTATAAAACGTATTATGTGCCGAAATTGTTTATTAAATATATCGTCAATAAATATAGTTTGTCCTCAATGTGGGATATGTGATGAATCACGACAGGCTTTTATTTACAATGTCGATGTACAACTAGTAATTTCTTCTATAATTAAACGTATGTCAGTTGTTGTTGAAGAATATAAAATTCGTATAAGATCAATGGATGATAACATGCTCTGTACTGATATTCCATTCAGCTATTTGTATCAGAAGATGCGAAAGTGTTTTAATCATGAAAATATTATCAGTCTTATGTTCCACTGAGACGGTATGTTCCTTTTCGATCTTTCTGCTTGAACTCTGCATCTGTATGCTTTATCAATTAGGCATCGCACTGTACAGATCAACAAAACTCAAGATATGGCTTCTCAGCTGCTCATTCGACAAATTACCTCCAACGTACCGATACTAGTGGCATAATATACCCGTCTTATCCATGTGGATCGGGTTTGAAGATCCAGAATCACGTATTTAGCTTCAAAACTTCCTACAAAAACTCAAATAGTTGAAAGAAATAGGTAATTAGTTGGCATGTTTTGGTCACATTAGTTATAGCTTCTCATCAATTAGTAGACATTCCAATTCGTCCAGGTTTATGTTATGATCTTAAGTTTTTCTCTATTATCGGTGACTGTCCAGCATTAAAGCTGATTTTGAACTTCATTAGTCATGTCGAATATAGTTGCTGTTTCTTCTGTAAAATTCATGGTATTCATACATATAACAAGAGACAGTATCCATTTGAAGACATTGCGATTCATCGTGATACCCATTCACACTTAATAGACTTTGCCAAGGCAGAAAAAACTGGTCAAAATATATGTGATCATCTTGGCACAAGTATCCTTACTGAATTTTTCGACGTAATCTTTCCTCAGGCAATATTAATAGACTATCTACATATCATCCTATTACGACATACAAAGACCATTATTCAAGATTTGTACTGTCATTTTGGAACCTGTGCATCCCCGAGAGCTTGATGTACGACTGGAGGATCAACAATTTCCCCATCTTTTTAATCGGCGAATGCGCGCATTCAAGAGGATTTAATAGATAGTAAGAAAACTTTAGCGTTTGCACTTCTTCTGTTGAAGATTAATGCAATACTTTTCTTGTTTAGTTATTAGCTCAAATAGACATGGTATATGTCACTACGATGAACTACTGTCTAGAATTTGCTTTGTACAACAACAACATTTCTATCGAAATAATAAAGCAATCAGACGAGCCTTTTGATTATCATCAATTATATGATTGTTCAATGGGCGTTATTATTAAATAGCAACATAGTCTTCTGTGCGGTTGCGAAAATATTAAACAATGTGTAATTGTCTCCCGTCGTTGTCATATCCACTCTCGATTATATCATTTCCTGCTGTATGAGCGACGATAAAGATCCGTTTCATTATTTGTATAAAATCACAGCAAAGACATGGGCATACAATATGGCAGATTTATCCTATTCTTTGCATGTAAAACCCAACACATCGCGATTATTAAACATCATCGTATACGTACTGCGTTCAATGAACAGTTGAATTCCTCTCAATATTATAATCTACTGAAAGAAGCTGTTGATCTATTTTTTATTCGCATCGAAATCAACTCTTCTGATTGTATCTGTATAACTACTTCTTTGATTTCTAAACATTGTATGGCGTTTGAAGCTGATCGATATTTTATCTTCATATCTGTATCTGGTTATGAAGAATATAATTAGTTGACCACTTTATTTTCTTTTCGTATTTTATTTTTAAGCATTCTTTTTGGTTTTTATGATACCTAGCATCTTATCTTTTTTCTTAACTTGTAGATTATTATCGTAATGTCAAATACATCGAATGTCGCAAGTCGATTTCTCGTTCGTCGACAAAAACTTCGTCCATTAACAGGCTTCGGGAATTCAGTCACTGTTTCCTCACCTCAATACTATCTGCAGTTCTTCAGTGATAATGAAGAATGTCTCATTCTTCCAGAAAACAACATTAAAAAGTTTATCGATGATAAAACAATAGTAATGATAGACCGCTAGAGGAAAATTACAAGTTTAGAACCTCATGGTCGATATAAGAATTTCCTGCTAAAACATGCGACTTTCATTTTCTCTCATCAAATTCATCATCATTGTGTCAGGCAATGCGTCAATCAAAACTTGCCGAGCTCGAACAAAGTGAGTACAGTATTTCTTTTACGAATTATAACAAAGTCAACAATATTTTTTGTTCCAGTATCAAATATCATCAATAAAGATATTGACAATTTCAATGTTGATAATAGTGGTGAAAGTAGTAACGAGCAACAATTTGATGAAAATGATGAAGAAGACAGTAAGTAATAATATTATCTCAAATCAAGAAAGTTACATGTCTCAATAGATGATAGTTATATTCATTCATAAGTCTTAAAGCAACAACCTACATCGGCACGACGTACACTTAAGGATATCAATGATCACAATTGACATTGGTATAATAACACATAATCAGATTCATCTTGTAATTTTTGATTGCAGGTGTGAGTAAACGTCAGCGAACACATCTGAAGTCTCAACTGCAGGATAAAAACAGTATAATTATTTTTATCTAAAACTCATTTTAGAAATTTTTTTTTCACATTTTAGAATCAATCAAGTGTTAATGGCTTTCGGTTTATGATGATGATTCTGAAAATGAAGAGAGTAACATCTAGAATTGTTTTTATGCATCGTTATATTTTGTCTCCTTTTAGTTCAGCCTGGTGATGCACTCGAAATGACAAATACTAGTCATCAGTTACTATTGTCTATTTCAAAATAGAATGTGCTCCACTGTGTTTTGAATAACTCGAGAATGCAAGCAGCTAGAAATTTGCGGTTTTCACCAATTGAAAGAGGAGACGAGGGCACGTCTTTTTCTCCAATATTATATAAGACGAAATCTTTTTAAAAGTAATTATCTTCGAGAAACATGCAAAAGAGTGCATGAAAGTGACCTGCCATCTGGATGAAATTTTGATTTCGACCTTCGATTTAGATAGAGAGACTTGAGATCTATAGTTCAAGATACAATGCACTTTCCTACTGTTCTTTGTATTTCCGTCGAAAGGTCCAGCTATTATGACAAAAAGTGCAAAAACTTAGTAAAAAAATCAGCAAAATTCTCTATTCTTTGCGCATATAAATACATGATTCCATTTACTCAACGTTAGAATGCAATAAGAGAACCATTTGTATTGTATCTTGAACTATAGATCTCAAGTCTCTCTATCTAAATCGAAGATCGAAATCAAAATTTCATCCAGATGGCAGGTCACTTTCATGCATTCTTTTGCATGTTTCTCGAAGATAATTACTTTTAAAAAGACTTCGTCTTATATAATATTGGAGAAAAAGACGTGCCCTCGTCTCCTCTTTCGATTGGTGAAAACCGCAAGTTTCTAGCTGCTTGCATTCTCGAGTTATTCAAAACACAGTGGAGCACATTCTATTTTGAAATGGATAATAGTTAATCGTAAGTTAATCATCGTTTTGAAACTACTCAATGCATGTTCTCAGTGCGGCACAAGCAATCTATAGTCAAATAGATAGACTCTTTAACGTAATAACAAGAACAATAGAACATCAGTTTATTCCTTTTGATAAAAAGATTGAGCGACTGGCATAAAATAACTTCGTAAGTTGTGGCTTTTCTGTTCAGCAAATTTTGTTCTTGCCTTGTAGTACCCAAGAAAAAAATTTTTATAAAACTTTGCGTCGAAACGCGTTTTTTTATTAGCTCGCATGTTTTCGCTAGACTTCAAACGCAGTTTTTAAAATGCGTTTAAACGCGTTTTTTGAAGTAACGAAAAGCGTTTGAGGAGGCTAAGAAGACCAAATATATTTGAAGAAAAAAATGTTATTTTCAACTCAATCATTGTCTGCAACGCGCTTTTCCAGAATTCGTATCTCCTCTCGGAAAATATTCGGCTATCGATTTAATGTAGCTGTAGTTCACACTGAACGCGTTGCAACGCATCTATTTGTTACCGTAGAGCAGATTCGACCAGGAGAACTTGTAATTATGAAGTCTAGAATATACCACTAGACTATACTTACGCATTCGTGAAACTGTTGAATTTTCTACTTAAATTAAGAAATAATTTTCTACTTAAATTAAGAAATAATTTTCTACTTAAGTTAAGAAATAATTTTCTACTTAAATTAAGAAATAATTTTCTACTTAAGTTAAGAAATAATTTTCTACTTAAATTAAGAAATAATT